ACCTCCTCCCCCGCGCCCCGGTCGGACCGGCTCCGCCGCAGTGAGCGGGGCGGGGCAGGGGGACCAGGAGCGCAGGGGGAATCGCCGCAGCGTTAGAGGACCCTCCTGAGGTCGGAGCTGGGGGTGGGGAACTTCGGAGTGGACCCGACAGGACCTCCTGGTGCGGGTCTGAAGTCCCTGCTAGGGTGCTCGGGATAACAGGGGACCTGACATAGGGAGAGGTCGAGGAAATAGGGCAGGACACCTTCGGAATGGAAGATTGAAGGCTGCAGCCGTTACACTGAGGGTACCCCTGCCTGAGAGGGATCCCAAGGTTTTCCGGGTAGTTAAGCGGCCCTAGGCTGCAGAGACTGCCGCCGGCCCGGAATAGGGGACAAAGTCAGGCAGTCTTAGATGGGGGCACGGTGAACGCTACAAAGGCTAGATGGAGGCCCCCTGGCCGCAGGCACGGAGTTCCGCTAAGAGCTAGGGCGGCCACCGCGAGAGGGCTCAAGGAAGTTTGCAGCCGGCTCCGGAACCGGGGAGGGGGACCTGGAATTGGAAGGACCGCAGCCTACCTTGAATGGGGCCCTGGGAGACACCGCAGTGGATGGAAAAGGGATTCCTGGGAGGGGAGAGGGGGACACTGTCCAAAAGGTCTGCCGTGGCCCCTAAGATTGGAGGTGGGAGACGGTGCAGACCCGGGGAGGGGAACTCTCAGGCAAGGGACAGGAACTTGAGGTGAGTAGGAGAGCCAGAGAACACCCACACCGGGCTCTGCATGCTGGGGTCAGCTCTGTGTGCTGGTAGAATGACCTTGCACAAGTTTCTTGCCAGGCCTCTTTTTCCCATGCGTACAACTAGGGGGTCTTTCCCCGGGGACTCGCTGCAACTTCAGACACCCCAACTGCCCCCAGGAGCTTCCGCTTTGAGGTCTCCAGCAACACTGGGGGAGGAGAAGTCACATACTGTCCGTGGATATAGCAGCCGCTTTTCCACAGGCAGAAAGTCCGTCTTTCTCCTTCCTCTGCTCCCCTCAGCTTCAGCTCATCATCTCCCCTACCCCCACAACAAACGGACAGTCTGTGGCATCCTTGTTGCTCTCAAGATAGTGGAAGCTTTTCTCGGTACCAAGGTCCCGCGTCACTGTAAAAGCCTCACTGCGGTGTCAGAAAGGAGTTCCGCAGATTTAGGGGGCCTGCCACTGCTTTGTAACGCGCATCTTCCTTGCTTTTGATTCATGTCAAATACTTTGGGAGTGGGAGCGGCGCTGCGGCGGTCAGGATCGTTTCAGCACCGGGGACAGAGCCTACTCTTCGCTGGGGAGAAAGAGGTTAAGGTCTGCCTTTACCTTGGGCGGAAGGGAGGGAGATGTGCTAGCCCTTTCTGGCGGTACCCCCTGTGCTGTACAGATGGGAACTGAGGAGGGGGTGGGTGACTGAACCGGCAGGGTCCTACAGTGAGCCAGGAACCCATCCCTGAGTATTCTGTTAGGGGTCTAGTCCCCTTTGCTGTGAAGTTCGTGAACCTGGGCTGTCCCCTTCCTCCATTCGGGGAGCCCAGACACCCTCTGGGAATTAGTATAAATAGCCCCCTCCAGGTCTGAGCCTTCCCCGGGCAGTTATCTTAACCTCCACTGCCCCCCAAATTGCTCTCTTTTTTTTCTTCTGTTGGGATCTCTGTTATGTGGACGGATAATTAGATCCCATCCCCCCCAAGACCTCTGCCGGTTCCTCTCTGCCCTTCGCCTTATTCCCAGCCCGCCGCTTCTAGTCAGACCCTTGGAACTGGAGAAGGGATGGCGCTGTCCCTTTCACCACGTTTTACTGGAAGGAGAGTGTGCTGGAGAGGATGCAGGAGGGGGAAGGGAGTTTCTGGTTTTGCTCGGAGAAGCAGAACATGATGAAGCACTTTTCTCCCATTTAAAGGTCCAGTCATGCTCCAGTTTGCAAAGGGGGAGCAGGGCTTGTTTACAGATGATGCTGGGAACTTCAGGTGAATGGCTAGTTTGAGGCATTGGAGAAAGACATGGGGTGAGGGGGGTATGCTTACATGACTCCCCACTTTTTCATTCTGCTTGGAATTGTGCTGTTAGATCCTTGTTCTCTTGAGTCTCTTTAGTCGTTTGCAGAGCACAGATACTTTCTCGGTATGGAAAGGCTGACAAGCAGCTGACAGCAAGGAGAAATGATATGGGGGCTGGAGTAAAAGGGAGAGAGTAAGATGGATTTGTTGGGACTAAGGGACCACAGCCATCCCAGTGCAGTGGCCTATGAATTCCAAGAATCTCTAAGTGATTTTTGCGGCTGGAAAATTGTCATGAGGGCTGTGAAATCTTCAGTTCCCCTAGAAGGCCCTTTGGGCACCCCCTGAAAGCCGTCGTTAGCCTCCTTCATCCCATATTTAGTTAATTCTCCCCCCCTGGGTGTTCTCATGGTCTCCTGTGATAAATCCTGGTACTGCACTTACCAGGTTGTGCTGTTATATGAATAACAGAATGAATGAATTATATCAGTTCTCCAGCCAGGCTTGTGATCTAAAGGGCACTAGCAATGATTCTGACTAAATCTTTGGAATTTGAATCACTGTTACCTCCCTCCCTACAATTCTTACCATTTGGAAGTGAGTAGAACAACATATTCATCCATCCATCTATCCATCCATCAGTTGCCTTTTGAGCATCTGTTATGTGATAGGCACACACTAAACTCAGAGATACAGAGCCCCACAAATCCCCTATTGTCTCCTTGAGACAAGGATTTTCAGTTCCTTCCGAAATCTCAGCCCTGCATTTCCCAAGGCACTTTCAGGGTGATGCTAAGTGCTATGGTTTGGATCTTGAATGCCCTGCATGTGTTCAGGGCTTGGTCCTCAGGGTACCACACTTGGAAGGTGGCAGAACCTTTAAGAGGTGGGGCTTTAAAGGATGTCTTTAGACATATGGGTATGCCCCCAAAGGGACTGTGGGTACCTTGGCCCCTTTTGAGACAGAATCTCACTAAGTTACTAAGTCATATAGGCTAGGTTTAAACTTGAAATCCTCCTGCTTTTTCCTCCAAGAGTGCTTTAGTTATAGGCAAATGCCACCATGCCCAGCATTATGGGTGTGCCTCCAGAAGGGACTGTGGCACCATAGTCCCTTTTCAGACAGGGTCCCTTCTTCCTCTCTGTTATTTCCTAGCCATGAGATGAGTGGGTTTGCTTCATCATATACTACTTTTTTTTTTTGGTACGGGGGATCGAACTTGGGTCCTTGCGCTTATGAGGCAGGCTCCAGAATTCATCATATACTTCTGTCTTGGTTTTTTTTTTTTTTTTCTTTTTCTTTTTTGAGACAGGGTCTCACTATGTAGTTGAGACTCACCTGGAACTATGCAGTCCAGGCTGGTCTCGAACTCATAGAGATCTTCCTGCCTCAGCCTCCCGAGTGCTGGGATTACAGACGTGAGCCACCACACCCGGCATATACTTCTATCTTGATATGCTGCCTCACCCCAGGCCTAGAGCAACAAAGCCAGCTGATGTCAACTGGAACCTCCAAAATGTGAGCCAAAATAAACCTTTTCTCTTCATAAATTAATTATCTCAGGTATTCATTAGACTAATGGAAAGCTGATTAACATGATCGGTATTCCTCCAAAAGGAGAGGAAATCTCATGATCAAAGTTGGTAAGCGGGGTTCTTGGAGCAGATCTTTCTGAAGCTTGGCCTTGGTGATGAGCAGTGAGGATCTCACCGAGGCAACTGGACTGTGCCAAGTTTCCCAGACTAATTTGCTCTCATACCCTCCTCATTCCCAAGTGTCTTCCACGAAGAGATTCCAGTGCCTCACACTGGAGGGCCGACTCAGAATTGGGCCTCAGGCTTGCCGTCCCTAGGTTGCTGTCTGGCTCCCTTGAATCCCATGTCTGGTGCTTTTCAGCAACATACTTGCAGGGTGAAGGATAAAGCCGTTAGCTCTCTGTGAAGATCCACCAGGCCCTGTTGCCACTGACCATTCCTTAAGCATTGAGGGGATTGGATTAGACCCTGTGGTGATTGCTGGGGACTCAAGAACAAGACTGCCAAGAGGGAATCCCTCCCCT